TTTACAGTGTTGTTGTCTCTCAAAGTCTTGGCTTAGCATTTGGTGCTATCTTGATGGAGATTAAACAAGCAACCACTCTAGCTTCAGTGACAACCCTTGTGTTTCTTATTGCTGGGGGATACTATATACAACAGATTCCCCCATTCATAGTCTGGCTCAAGTACTTGAGCTACAGCTACTACTGTTACAAGCTGCTTCTAGGTGTCCAGTACAATGAAAATGACTATTATGAATGCTCAAAGGGGGAGCTGTGCAAGGTTGCAGATTTTCCTCCTATCAAATCAATGGGGTTGAATCATTTGTGGGTTGATGTGTGCATCATGGCCCTTATGTTGGTGGGTTATCGACTAGTTGCTTATTTAGCACTGCACAGGGTTAGGTAGATCAAAATTATGGCGGAGCTCCCATACACACAGCATGAGAATTTGAAAAGTTTTTGTTCAAGTCAACTGAGGAATAATGCTAGAATAGTAGACTTCTGATGGAACTCATGTAATGAAACTTTATCAACTCTCCCTGACTGAGTTGGATGTACAAGACTTATTTTTAATAGATTTAGGGTATACTAACTCTATGTTCCTACTTCAACATAAATTCAACTGCCTCAATGCAATATATTTATATGTGTGCTTATGCCACATGATAACAAGCAAGGAAAATAACATTATGCATTTTCATCTGCTTAAAAGGTCAAGATAGCGACTGGACGTCTAAGGTTGAATGCTAAGAACTGTTTTGTATCTCTCAAACACAGTTGTGGATCAATTTTGAGACCGCAAGTTTGATGTTTCAGTTCTCCCTGGATAGTGTTAGATAGAGAGAACATTTATCAGAATAATAATTTTTCAAAAGGGCACTAGTTAGTGGCACATAATAAAAGAGATTTTTCTAATTGAGTGGAAATTATCAGAGGCTTTGTTGAATTTGTATGGAGCTTTAGAACGCTTAAAAGAATTAGCATACCATTAAAATTGATCCAACTAACCAAGTGATATTCGTCATTCAATGATGCATAAATGATGGAAGAATTGAAAACCAAATGATAATGAAGATTAATCCTAGTTAATGCACATCAAATCAGCTTGATAAAATAATTGAAAGTGGATGGCAATGTGTTGTGACTAGGGAGTAACTAGAAGACCATGAAATCAGGTTGATACTTCATGTAAATAAATTTTAAAAAAAGATGAAACCTAAAAGATCCCTGTCACAGTCTACTTGAACATTGTGCATTATCCACTTTAATCACTTTGAAGTTTGACATAGAAATGGGCTGTTGATAATTCTGCTTAAAAACAGTAACATCTCAAACTGGGTAGACTGTAGGGTATAGAACCTCTCAATCGGCTTGTCATTCAATTAGTAGTTAAATTTGGAGAAGGAAAGTAAAATATGAATTCTATAGTTTATCAGTGTGTGAGAATTGAAGCAGTAAAGGGTGATTATTTGATAAAAGTAAATTAAGACTGATTCCATCAAACTTAGAACATAATCATTTTATCACCGTTGACTTTGCTCAATTTCACTAAGTGTTAGGTATTTAGTCATAAACAACAAAAAGGTACTGCACACAGTTATAACTTAAGTAATCAAAGTCATTATGGTTTAATAAATCAACCAAGTTAAGAAAGTGAATAGTATTTTGCAGCATAGAAAATGTTATCACTATGCTTACGTTTAGAAGCAAAAAGGATTTATTATTACTTGCCATCCACAACCCAAAATCTGATAACTTTGTGGTCCAATTTGGCCTTCACCTAACTCAAGCATCAGAAGTGAACAGTTCCAATCATACCTAGGCATTTGTTGATCACCAACCAAACCCCTTGATGCAGGCATTATGTGTAATTGTCAAGCACCTGTTATTCAACAGTTGCAAGAATTCTCCCACACCAACTCCAAAAAGAAGGCACATGAAAATATAATGCAAGTTCTATTCCTACTCATTTTCGTTGTTAGTTAGATGTTACGCCAAATTCACCTTTTCATTTCCATTATTGTGTACCTATGTATAGGTACTTCAAAGTTCGAAGAGTCACTCTTTACATGCTTTTCCTATTTTGTGTAAAAGCATGCCCATGTGCAGCATGTGCATCAAAGTAAAATCAGTACATTCATAAATTACAGGGTACAACATGTGCTTAAAAACATTCCATTATTTTGAACATAGTCGACAGACAGGTGACTTGGTTTATTTTAAAAACAACAACAAAGCTTTATCCTACTAGGTAGGATTAGTTACATAGAATGCACCACGCCATTCGAACACAAGTTCCAAGAGATGCAGTTCAATGTCATTGACCTCAACTCAACACAAAGCAAATAACACAAGTGAACTTAATAACATATCTTAATCCAAAACATTAAAACAATAAGTTAATGAATTTTTCTCATTTACATGTTACTCAATATATCCATCTTTATCAGATGTGAGACTTCTCTTTCACACTTGCACACTAGGAGAGATAACATACAAAATTTTTAAAGCAGTCATGGATGAAGAATATGCTATTTATTTTCCAACATTATAAGTAGTTAAACTGCCTACAAAGAATAAACAAAATTGAGGAATGTAACTTATTCACGAAAGAATCATGATAACTGGTATTCAGTTAATCATGATATTAAACAAGAATTGGTCAAAAATCAAATAAGATTCGAAATTTGGCTTAGGCACCAGATACCACCAAAGTTCAGCAATCTTTCCAAGTTGCTAAAATCCAATTAGAAACCATCCAATTCAACATTTGACGTGTGAGTGGGACCTCAGAAAGGCTTCATTCTGGGATAGAGAAGTCAATATGAGTGATGCTATGGTTAAAGGACATTGCTCATATCCAAAGTGTTGGTAATCACAACCGGAAGTTTCTAAGAAATTGCAACTACAAAGAATAAACAAACTTGAGGAGTGTAACTTTTGTACACGGAAGAATCATATGATATCATCAAGACATGTTAACTAGCAATGCAGCATTCAATTAATCATGATACTAAACAATAAATTGGTCAAAAGTAACCAACAAAGATTCGGTAGTTAGCTTAGGAACCAGATGCCACCAGAGCCTGCAATTTTTCCAAATTGCTTAAATCAAATGAGAAACAATTTAATTCAAACATTTTACATGTGAGTGGGACCATAGAAGGGCTTCATTCTGAGACTGAGAAGTCAATTGAGTGATTCTATTTATGTTTGTAGCATTTTGCACATATCCAAAATCAATGCCGAAAGTTAAAGACATTGACATTTGAGCAAAGAGGTGCTTTGGTATAATATGATGAAATATATCATGAATAAACCTTAGTTTTAGCCCTCATAAATATGCATGCACTTATCAGATAAAAAGTAAAGGGCCTATATGCATTGAATTCGAATCTTTTCCGTGGAAAAATTACATTAAATCTAAAGGGAACATAAGACAAATATGCTTCACAAAAGTGCAGTACCTTAACCAAGGGTATGTCTGGAAAACTAAGCCTAATGAAGAATAAAATGACGAATAACAGACTACATGTTTCTATTTGTTTTACTCTAAATGGATAACATAGATACAGCAAGGTTTCAATTGTCACTCCCAAAAACCGAATTCACCATCCTCAACAAAAATCAGTTGTATGCAGACAAATCTAGAACATGTTTTTCTTAATCTCATGTTAGTTACTCTCAATAATAAAATTAGTCAAAAATTAGTGATGTATTCACACTTCGCAGGAAATAACATCTCCTTACTGAGAAGGTTGTCAAATAATCTAGAATATGTTTTCTTAATCTTTTAACGTATTATTTTTTTTATCCATCAAAATTACAATCATAATATCATAATTTAAATCTGTGATCATGTACGTTATATTCTAATTCCACTACTAGAACATTTTAGTTGTTATCTTTAGCATCTTGTCTTAAAATTGCGTTCATCGTACTCAAGGAAAAATTCATAGCATGCAGAGAAATTAAAGTTTTCCTCTGATCAAAGTTGATTACCCGAGACATATCATCGATGTATCTACTTTTAGAATTGTATTCATAAACTTCTTCATATATTTTTTTATGGGAAAATTAAAAAAAATTAGAGTAAAATAAATTAAATTTCTCTCATAAATTAAAATCAATGTATACATTTTTTTTTTACATAACAATATATAACTCTAAACTTTTTTTAGAAATTCTTTATTTATTTTTCATAAATTAAAATGTATAAATTAATTTTAGTTCATAAAAAAGTATAATTTATTTTACTTTTTATGTCATATTATTTTCTTCTATTGGTAATTACTTACTAAGAAGTTTGTCCAATCTATAAACCCCTAGTCACTTGAGAATTTATAACCCTTTTCTATTTTTATAAAAATAAAAACTAACAGTATAAAAACAAATTGCAAACATGTTACTTGGCCCAATCTTGAGTCGAAGTTCTATTGTGTTCAATTTTTATGCATTAATCAGACTGAAATAGCCACTTGAAAATCTGTATAACTCAACCACAATGGCCCAATTGAACCAATTCAGTTTTTAAAAACATTGTTTTAATGGCCTGGTCATGAAACAGACCAAATTGAGCTTTGGGCTGGATAGGTCAAAATTGAATAATACACGATAATCCTTTCTTGCACAATGCTTTGATTATTTTCATGTTATTCACATAAGTTTGCTTATTACTACCATACATAATCTAATTGACAATTACATTACAAGGTAGACAAAGAAAATACATGATATAAGTGGGGAAGATTATTTTTCGTATTTCAATTGTATTTGAAGAAAAATAAATATTTACGAAATAAGTTATATACTTAAGACAATTAAACTTTTATTTTTAAAATGCAGCATTTACTACTTTAGGAGTCAAATTCTTAAATTCAATATATAAGAACATATAAAAATATTAATTTAGAAAATCAATTAATTAGTGATTTACGAATTAAAAAAATACTGTGCATTAAAATTCATAAATGATTAATTTATTCACTTTTCTTGATTACAAAATTTGGTACTGGTTTCGTTGGACTTTGATGAGAGGTTTTACTCACACTATTTTGAATTTTGATACATTATCAGAGAGAAAGAGAGAGAGAAAAGGTGGATGATGGAGGGCGAGGAAGGAGGAGGCATAAGGCTGAGCAAGCGAATCGCGAACGGAGAAGTCGACTACAAGAACAAATCCGGCACCGCCTGGAGCCACTCCTATCTCAACCAGAAGCCATGGCACCCTCTCTCTTACCCCAACCAACGCCGCAAGTGGATCGCCGAACAAACCCACGCCAATCGCCAGCGCCGCGCCGACGAAGTCTCTCGCGAGGTACCTCACCTTCTCTCCATTCCGATTCCTTCATCTCCATTCCTCTATCCTAATTCCTCTCTCTTTGCACTTTGCAGTTCGCGCAGGAGCAAGAGTTCTTTCGCCAAACCGCTCTCATCTCCAAGAAGGAGAAGGAAAAGGTTCCTTCGCAATTCGCGTCCTCTCTCTTCGTTTTTCGTCGTTTCGCTTCCTTCGATTTGAAATTAGGGTTTTGTTTTGTGTAGGTGGAGCTCATGCAGGCTGTCAGCTTCATGTACGTTCGGCCTCCCGGTTACAACGCCGAGAGCGCCAAAGCTGCTGAGATGAACGATGAGAAGAAAAAAGAGGACATCAGCAACGATGATGGACCTTCCTCTTCCATGTACCTTACTTTCTGTTCAATATGTTCAATAATAATGATGATGATGATGAAACTAATCTGTCACTGGTGTTTGGTTCTTGTGTGATTGAATAATGGATGTGTTTGCCTCTTAGGCCGCAGAGTTCCTCGCATTTGAATGAAGAGAAGAAGAAACCAAGGCCCAAGGATGTCTTCGGGCGTCCTCTTCCGACAGAAGAGGAATTTGAAGTTCTTAAAAACGCGCCCAGGTATGTAATTGGTGTTGTTTTATGTGGTTTGTGTGGTTGTGTTATTGCCTGACCTGTGTATATGCTATATGGGAACCTCTAGTGTCCAGATGGATGTGTGGTGTTTGTGTGGTATTCAAAGACTATTTAATGATGTGCTGTTTATAAATTTGGTTGGATTTCTTGGTATTATGACGAATGGATTGTAGTAGGGTCTAGGTCTAGTAACAGATTTTTTGGAGCACATGGGGATTACTTTCGTCGGGGTTGTCTCTGACTCTCTGTTATGAGTTAAACACACAGACAGATCTCTGAGATTATTTATCATTGACTTGCTTGGGATATCTGGCTGGCTATGTTGTTGAATGTGGCTCAGCAGTCAGCACATATCAAAGTTGAAATAAGGATAAATTGAGCAGATATTTACCAATTTAGGCTCTGCAAAAAGATGAATCCTATATCTTGTCTAATGTTGAAACTTGAAATGACTGAGTAGAGTCATTTGTTTTTTCAGAAGTTTTATTTTTCCCTGAGAAGTTAATGGTAATAGGGTAAATGACTGTCACCTCATACACTATTTATCCTTCAAAAACTTGCAAAACCTCTTTTAATTGGTATATGCCATCCATTAATGAAAGTAACATCTAGGTTTGAAGTTTAAACTTATTGGAGGTTATAGATTCAATAGAGGAAGCTATTCCTTTTAAGAAAAACTTTGGGTGCTAAAATTGTGGTTCAAAACAACATAGAGCATTTCTGACTTGTGGAGTACAGAGAAAAAAATATCTGTAGTTTTTAGATCATAGACATAAGTTACATATTAAACAACAATACAGGTGTTGAAAGTGACTGAAATCTGTAATATTAAGTGCATCTTAGATCTATTTGTTAGTGATTGACAGATTGGTATAACTCTGCCTGATTGCCATAGATTCTTATCTAGTTATCTTTTATTATTTAGTTTGGGAAAACCAAATTTCTTGTTATACATTTAGACATGGAAGTGTATACTTCAAGTTTAATTGCTGCTGTGAACCTATTAGTAACAGAATGGTTTTTAGGTTGGAAACAGGAGCTCCTGCCAGGGTCAAACCTTTTGGAGTTGAAGTCCGTAATGTAAAATGTTTAAGATGTGGGAACTATGGTCACCAAAGTGGTGATCGTGAATGTCCCTTGAAGGATGTTATAATGCCTAATGAGGAAAGCAGATTGAAAAGAGACGATCCCTTGAATGCTATCCTTGCCCACACAGATCCTACTGAGGTTAGTTGCTCATTTAATTGAACCCTTGTTTGGGAAATTTAAGAAATTTTATGGCTGTTTTGGATGTTGTGGATTGATATACTTATGCAACAGTAGAGTTTCGTTTCATTCAATTTTTGGATTTTTCCCCCAATTTTGTTGACATAATTACTAGGTTGAACATACAAGTTCTTGGTTTTCTTTTATTTGTTAACCTTTATATAAATAATTAATACATTGTTCTCCAACTCAATTGCACTGTTTGAAGCTACTAAATTGCAATATACTGATTGTAACTTAAAAAAATATACCTTGTGTCATAGTGAGATGGCTTACATCTGGTCACAAACTGATATTTACATATGCCGAGAATTGTGTTTGCAAGAATGCCTTTCTGTATATATAACTTTATCTCAATCCCAGTCTTTAATTATTTTAAGCTCTCTGGACATAAATGCACTTGTAATCAATGTTGAATATGATAATTTGAGCAAGCAATTAAGAATTTAAAATTAGTGTCTAGCTGTTTTTAAGTGTAACCTTTCAAGGGATGATGCTTTATATACAGCACACTATCTATAGTTTCATTCATTTCTATTCCTTCTTCAATAGATTCTTGCCCCCATCATTGTACAAACCTTTCCCATCTCTGATGAAAGCATTTGGATCAGCTTGTTTTACTGTTGTCAAAACTGTAAATGAAAATGTTAAGAGAGCTTTTGCCTGGATTTTTTTTTTTTTTGGAGTGAAATAATCAAATTAAGATATGCACATATTTGGATGAAAAAGCTAAGAACTTGGGGAAAAAAAACTCCCCCTTATAGATGAAGGGGAGAGAATGTGAAGTCGTGAAGATTTTAAAAATTCAACCTCGATCAGGACAATTTTAGATTGCCTTCAGATTTTCTCAAGTCTAGAAAGAATTTTATTTAGCCTCCCACCAATTTCTTTAGTGTGCACAATCAATTGGGAACTATTTCTTATATTTGTTCATGCAAATTGTAGTCTAGATGCAATGAAGATGTGTATCACTTTTTCCCTCCTTAAAAGATGGTATAATATTGTTATATATTTTATTTATTGTGCTGTTTGGCAAACGATGCAGCCCCTAAAATGGGAGCTCAAGCAGAGGCCAGGAATCAGTCCTCCTCGTGGAGGGTTCAAACCAGATGATCCCAACCAGCAGATAGTTAGTGAGGACATATTTGATGAGTATGGAGGTATCTGCTGGCAGCTCTTGTTTTTAAAAATTATTTGTATGCCTAGTAGTCTCAGATGTTTGTCCAAGAAAGTAACCATAACCATTGCCTATTTTTTCAGGTTTTCTTGGTATGGATAATATACCTGAGTTATTAACCAACTTTTCTAAGAAACCTAAGAAGTCCAAAAAAAGCAAGCACAAAAGGCACCGACAAATAAATTCAGAAAGTGAAGTATCATTAAACGAAGGAGAGAGGAGGTCTAAGAAAAAAAAGGTTAAGGTAAACAAAAAGAAGCAAGGGTCAAGTTCTTCAGAAACTTCGGACTCCGAAGAAGGTCATGGAAAGAGGAGGCACAAGAGTTCCCATTCATCAGAAGATTCTGATAGTTACAGGAATGATCGAAGTAGGTTAAAAGGTTCTGACCAGCCTAGGTGTGGTAGGAGTAAACATGGCAGAAGGTGTTCTTTTTCACCTGAGGAGTCTGATCCGGATGGGTACTGCAGAAGTCACAAGAACAGTGATAAGCTGTGTTATTCATCTGAAGACTCTGACAGGGATGATCGAAGTAGAAAGAATATACAAAAGCATAAGAGGAAGAAAAGACATTCTTATTCACACGAGGAATCTGGTCATGCTGGTGATCATGCTGATAAAAAGAGCAGGAATTAGCTTTCTTATTCATCTGATGATTCTAATCACCAGAAACAACCCAAGGTCAAAAGGAGCAGCCATAAGCATTTATCAACAGCCCATTGCAATTATCAACAGCATAACAGAAATTATGGTTTTGATCGCTACCAAGGAAGTAAAAATTCGGATGTCGACAAAGACAATCAAAATAGAAGGTTCAAACCACCCAAGGGTTCTGAACTTTCCGAAAGTGATGTGGATAAAGAGAAGAACAGAAAAAGGCATCATTATACATCAAAGGATTCTAGTGCTGATGGATATCATAGAAGTGAAAAAAGTAGATATGAACGGTTTTATTCATCCGATTATTCTGATCATCGTGAGAGACATCATAAACCAAGGAGGAGCTGATTGCAAATGAAGCATTACAGGAATTACTAGAGCAGGCAGAGTACGTCTTCCTAAAGGATGCCAAAATAGTAAACACCAATGTCATTTTGATGTATTAAAGGGGAAGTAATAATTAGTGCACCAAGAATCAGAATTTGTTGTATTAGTCATGTTATTTTCCGAAGCACCTTTGTGTAACAGAGTTGGCATTCCTTTCTTTGTTTATTTCCCCCTGTTCTAAATGAAGTTTGCTCTTTTGAGATTTTATTCACTCATTGAACAAGACTAATCGAAATGTTTTTCACGCTCAGGCCCTTATAGAATATGGGACTCTATAATCACTAAATTCAAGCATTAATGTAAATTATCGGTCATTGTAAATGAAAACATATTTCTACGTAAAATTATAATTTTCATCCTTAAAATTCCGGTTCTACTTTAGGCTTTTTATTTCCATTTTATCTAATCTAATATAAATAGTGATGATAATAATGATAGTCTAAGATTTGGTCAATGGTGGTTATTTTAAGTCAGTTGTTAGGGTCTAAAGACAAAATTTACAGACACGAGAATAACTTTAAAAATATAATATAAATCATATATAATGCTAAATATAATAATTTTCGATTAGAAAATGATTATAAATCTCAACGAAATTGCAGTGAATCTTTAATAATAGGTTATTAGGTTTTATAATTTATCTAATATTTTAGTTTGAATTATATGTTAAATATTTATTATATAACTAAAATTTAAAATAAATTATATACATAAATAAATATTATTTTTTATTTAAATATATAAATTATATTCAAAATTTAAACAAGAATATATTTTTAAATGTATAAATTATATTTTAGATTTATGATAAATAATTTATATTATAATACAATATTATTTTTATTGATATTTTTTTTTTGTAAAGATAGGAAAGATTACAAAGACTCGCAATGAAAAATAAACTTGTCTTCATGTTTCTAACTATCCCAACCTCCCACCCAACCACTAGGCTAACCCTAGTGGTTTATTGATAATTTATTTAAGATATTAAATTTTAATTCATAAATAATTATGATAAATAAAAATTAAATCAAATATAAAATTAAAAAAAATTCTTAAAAACCTATTCAAAGAAAAAAAAATCTTTAAAAACACTGCACATGATAAGAGTTCTAGATACAGGAGTTGATAAAAGTTAATATTGACTATTAAAGGTTTACTTTAATTTCTAAATATTGAAAACTTTGTTATCAATAAAAGAATATTCCGAATGATTTTAAATTACCTTAAAATAAAAAACATACTCATGCTAAAAGTAAAATATAATCATCATATATAACATTTTGTAATTGAATAATAATATAAAACCTTTAATTCACAACACTGAATAGTACAATGAAAATAGCCGAATACGGCATAAAGAGAGAATGACATGTAAGTTCCTTTTCATATAATAATTTGTCATTTCAATTTCTTTGATAAAAAAATAGTGTGAAGGTAAAAATTAACAATGAATCACTGAATCATGTAATTTGTACTGGTGATACGGAATCGCATTAGTTTATCCATTTATAGCAAGATTCAAAATCAGTTGATATTCATCACACGATGCCAATTGTTAGCCAGTCAAATAATAATAGAATATCGCGAATAGCTTAACCATAAAATTCTAATAAAAAATGGTGATGTTCACAAAGGGCTTGGAAAGATAATGCACATATACTAAAACCCTAACAATGCGAAAGCAGACAGTGACAAAATCACACCACTTTCAAACCTTCAAGTCCGATAACACAAATTTCCATGTTTCTTAACGGTTGGTCTCAAACCATGTACTTGAAGACAAAATAACCTACTTAATGTACTGAGACAGGTTACCATCATTAAGAGTACATCAAAGCTGAAAATCATCCTGATTTCACAAAATGGTTAGACAGCAATCTAGCAATCTCGGTGAACCCAACCTTATCTTTCCCATCAAAAATGGTCTTCAGCTTTGCATCACAGAAGATCTCCTTCTTATTTGAAGGATTCTGCAAAAGAATAGCCTTGTCATGCCATTGTAAAGACAGACAACACCGAAGATACAAAACAGCAGAGAAGAAAAAAAGGGTCATAATCCAAAACAAATTATCCTGCTTCTATAACCAATGTTATGAAAGCTTCACCTTATTTATTGACAAAAAACATTACAAATAAATGGAAAAACGTACTGCAGAAAAATGCCAGCATAAAAGGAGGGCCAACAAACATCAATATTGCTATTAGAAGCTCACAACTGAACTAAAGCATACATCTCAAAGATAATGATCAATAGATCAAACAATGACACCCAAGAAAACTTATAAATAATCAGTACAGTATCCACCTCCGAAAAGCAAATTACCATTGCATAATAACTATCTTATTAGAAAACAAGTGAATCCCTATTTTTGTAAGCATATAACTTTAGCCCTTGCATTTACAAAATCCTCATTTTAGTCCATGACTTAGCAAATCGTCATTCCCTTCAATCCTTTTTGCAAAAAAGACAGTATAAAATCAAGCGAAAAAGGGGTAAAGTGAATGACTTATTCCAACACTAAACCTTTCAGTTTCAACGAGTAGAACATGGTCTCCTCACTACATAGCATATCACATCTACAAATCAAAACCATAAAATGCAAAAGGCTAAAAGCAACAAAAGGATGCCCTAATTATAACAAACAGAGATGAACATTCTTCAACGTCAGAGACAGAGAAGCACAAAACCAAATGAATAGCCTCATTGACGCAACTAAACTAGTAGCGTGACTTAACAAGCACATACATATATTCAAGAGTTAAACCTAACACTATAAGCAACACACACTAACGATTATCACAAATAATGGCCTAAATCGCAAACACGTTGTTTTTTCTCGAGTGCGAAATAGAAAAAATCAATTGAAAAGGCGAATATCGCAAAGAGAAACAACAGCGGTGAGTGAAAACGAAAACGAGACCTGAAGATTTTGCAGCTTGATGTATTCCCAGACTCTTTTGACGGCGTCGGTTCGCGACACTTGAGGAGCGCCGAGGAAGTGGCCGAGCTCGGAAGAGACCGGAACCACCTTCTGTATGCCAGAGATGGTTCTCGTCGGGGACGTCTTCTTCGGCGCGGCTTTCGCGGCGGCGCCCCCGGACGGGGCGGCTTTCTTGGCCGCGCTCTTCGCCGCCGCCGCCATGAAGGCTCTTCCGGCGCTCGCTCCGAAAACCCTAGCAGGTGCCATGATCGCTACGCGGAAACCCTTTTCGTTTTGAGATTGTGAAACGTCGAAACCCTAGACTGGGAGTGTGAGAGTCTGAGGGTTTTGGTTCCCTCCCTCGCTCCTCGATCATCCCACGGAACTTTTCGATTGTTACTAGTTCCTGCAGTCAGGAGTGACGTGGCGGATTTTGATTGGCTGTGAACGTACGTAGAGATGACGTGTTCGAGTTTATGTGAAACCCGCCTACAGTTCTATACAATTCGAATTTTACAAAAATTTATTTTCGGTTTTTTTCGGTTTTTCTCTGCTTTTTTTTATCTTACGGTAAAAAAATTTTAAAAAATTATTTTCAAAACCATCTTACTTTTGTATTAAAATAGTATGTTTTAGAGGAAAAAGTATTTGTGTCTGACTTTGATTCCCATCAACTTGAGAGCTTTATTAATGGATAATTTATAAATATGTTTGTAGGTGTTTATAAAATTTTAGAGTTTATTTTAAGAGTTAATAAGTTTTTTTTACACTAGTAATCAATTATATATTTTAATAGTATCATGTCAGTTGCTTATATAATAAAATAAAAATAAAATAAAATTATTTAAAAGATATAATTAGTTGTCAGTATAAAAATTTTTACACTGACAGTGTATGAATGATTAACTCTTATTTTAATCTTAATAAGATTTCAAAATTCAATTCACCTAAGTTTTTTATAAGCAAAAACAAAATGTTAAAATATTGATAAACTGTTAATAAAATTAGATTCCACCTTCTAAAACAAAATTTTATAATCAAGTTTTGTAGATAGAAAAAAATATTTATCCGTATAAGTTATATTAAAAGTGTATAGACAAATTTTTTTTAAAATTATGACAAAATTAGTTGATAGATTTCCTTACAAAAATCAAGGTTTGTTTAAAATAGGATCTTTGATATATTACAAAGCTTACATTTTCTTAAATAAAGACACCATTATCATAAAAGATATTAGAGATATATAAATGATGGTGTAAACTTACACATGAGTTATTGTGTAAAGGGATAGATACATGTAAAATGTACTTTGATTTTTAAGTCAATAACATTTTTTATCATAATATTAGCATGCAATAATATTTTAAACAAAATTTAAGTATAATTTTTTTTATATATAATTGATGTTATTTTTCAATCAAAATTAAAGTTTTACTTTAATAATATGTATTTGCATGTAGTTTAAACTTGAGCAATATATATTTGCATATATTACCTAAATATATATCTATTACAATCAGAGGATAGCACTAATCACATCAAAAGAAATGCATCTAAGTTTTGTCATAATGTACCCTAGACAATGAGACAATATAATTATAAATATATGTAGGAATGTGAGTGACACTTTATCTAACCTTATTTTACTAATATTTTTCTATTGTTAGTTGAAAGTAATAAATCTTATTGAATAACATCAAAAGAGGATGTGGTTAAAAGAGTATTTAGTGAGAAACAAATGATTCTAAACATATAAAAGACAAAATAACATGGTTAATTGTATTATTAAAAGCAAAAAGATCATAAATAAAACTAAAAATCAAATAGCAATTATATATATTTGTATCCCTTTTATATTGTTATAGATGACACATAAATAAACATAAATATCATTATCCTTTATCTAACCTAATGATGTGTTTAGTAAATAAGATGAGAAAAGAAAAATAAAAAAAGGAAATAAGTAAATAAGAAGTAGAGTAAAAATTAAAATTATTCATTTTAAAATAAATAAATATAAATTATATATATATATATGATTTCGTAAAACATAAATTTTTGAAGGACTTAAAAGTCTAAAACATAATCAATTATTTTTATAATTTTACATATTAGTTAAAAAAAACCACTAACTCAAGACTTTAATTAAATAAAAATAAAGTAATTTTAATATAAAAATAAATACAGTAAACACCAGGAGAGAAAAAAAAAAAAAAAAAAAAAAAAATCGCACTCATTAAAATTATTTTGAGGGACAATGTTAGATGTTAGAAGTTAGAAGAAGGCAGGGTTGGAGCAGCCGCGAATCGTGTTGAAATGGGGCCGTTGGGTCGGAGGAGCATGTCGACGGTGTCGAAAGCGGTGGCGGAAATCACCGGCACCGGAAAAACCAAAACCCGCAAATCTTCCAGTGAACTCTGCAACTTCCTCGGCATCCCTCATCACTCTCGCTCCGAAATCTCCCTCATTCTGTCCAACTTCATCAAACTCTACAATTCCAAGGTTCCCCCATTTCATTATCAAAATCCTTTCTTTCATATCCCTCACTACTCCTCGCTCAATTTAGGTTTTTTTTTTTTTTATATATTGAATCGTTGTTTATGTATGGTGTGCAGAGTCCTGGTATTAAAAAGGACAAGATTTGGGAGCAGAATTTGCAGACGCTTTTGCGTGGCAGAAACACTGTTGGTTTTCCCGAGATTGCGAAAATTCTGTCTCCGGAATTCGGTCAGGGTGCGATTAATATGAAGGGCAGTAATGTGGATTCCTCCGCGGATGCCGCAAAGGGGAAAGGCCCTCAAAGGAAAGGGAAGTCCTCTAAGAAGTAGGACTTGCACGAGGTATTCCTTCTTCTAGGACGTAGTTACTAGTTAGATACTTGAAACTTTGTGTCTTTGCTCAATCTGCAATTTTGCAGCATAATGTCATGATTGAATTCCAGTGACAACCTATTCAAACTAATTTGGCTGTTCTGTTGTTGTCCTTCTAAATAATTTTATTCCTTCTAGTTACTCCATAGTCACAACACATTGCCTTCCACTTTCAATTATTTTATTAAGCTGATTTGATGTGCATTAACTAGGCTTAATGTTCATTATCATTTGGTTTTCAATTCTTCCATCATTTATGCATCATTCGATGACGAATATCACTTGGTTAGTTGGTTGGTTGGATCAATTTCAATGGTATGCGAATTCTTCTAAGCGTTCTAAAGCACCATACAAATTCAACAAAACCTCTAATATCCACACAATTAGAAAAATCTCTTTTATTATGTGCCACTAACTATTGCCCTTTTGAAAAATTATTATTCTGATAAATGTTGTCTCTATCTAACATTATTCAGGGGGAACTGAAACAACTAACTTGTGGTGTCAAAAATGATCCACAACTGTGTTTGAGAGATACAAAACGGTTCTTAGCATTCAATCTTAAACGTCGGGTCATTACCTTGACTTTTTAAGCGGATTAAAATGCATAATGTTATTTTCCTTGCTTGTTATCTTGACTTCATATATATATATATATATATATATTGCATTGAGGCAGTTGAATTTATGTTGAAGTAGGAACAGAGTTAGTATTCCCTAAATCTATTAAAAATAAGTCTTGTACGTCCAACTCAGTCAGGGAGAGTTGATAAAGTCTCATTACATGAGTTCCATCAGAAGTATACTATTATAGCATTATTCCTCAGTTGAATTGAACTAAAACTTTTCAAATTCTCATGCTGTGTGTATGGGAGCTCCGCCATAATTTTGTTCTACCTAACTGGGTGATATCCATCATGAGTTTCATATCTACTTTTTTCACTTCTTAGAATATGATATCCATCAGCACTAGAATCCTTTGATGAATAATGATGCTTTTTTTTTTGTTCTTCTTTCTATTCCATCTCTTAGAAAGAAAAAAACTTAAATAAAAATACTTAATAACATAGCAATACATTTATACAAAACTTCTATCCCAAGCACACACAATGGAGCCTAGACAGTTCTCAAGTAAAATCCAATCCATGAAATCATTTAATCTATGGTTATCCATATAACTTTTGGAATGTTCAGAACCTTGGGAGGTTTGAACCTTCTATTTTGATCATCAGAATTTAGACTTCCTTGGTAGTGATCAAAACCATAATTTCTGTTATGCTGTTGATAATTGCAATGGGCTGTTGATAAATGCTTATGGCTGCTCCTTTTGACCTTGGGTTGTTTCTGGTGATTAGAATCATCAGATGAATAAGAAAGCTAATCCCTGCTCTTTTTATCAGCATGATCACCAGCATGACCAGATTCCTCGTGTGAATAAGAATGTCTGTTTCTGCTATATTTCCTCTTATGCTATTGTATATTCTTTCGACTTTGATCATCCCTGTCAGAATCTTCAGATGAATAAGACTGCTCATCACTGTTCTTGTAGCTTCTCCGGTATGTTGACTTCTTAGAAAAGTTAGTTAATAACTCAGGGATATTATCCATACCAAGAAAACCTGAAACCTTCTTGGAAATACATCTGAGACTTCTAAGCATATGAATAATTTTTTAAAAAAAAAGCTGCTAGCAGATACCTCCTACTCATCAAATATGTCTTTACCAACGATCTGCTGGTTGGGATCATATGGTTTGAACCTTCCACGAGGGGGACTGATTCCTGGTCTCTGCTTGAGTTCCCATTATAGGGGCTGCATCATTTGCCAAACAACACAAGAAAATATATAACATTATACCATCTTTTAAGAGGGAACGAAAAAGTGATACACATCTTCATTGCATCTAGACTACAATTTGCATGAACAAATATAAGAATTAGTCCCCAAGAATAGACTGTGCACACTAAAGGACATTGGAGGGAGGCTTAATAAAAATTTGTCTATAGACTTTAGAAAATCTGAAGGCATCTAAAATTGTCCTGAACGAGGTTGAGCTTTCATCTAGACTACAATTTCTTACAAGGAATATTTGTATATAAGGAAGTTATGAGAAGTATATCGCAATTTAGTAGCTTCAAACAGTGCAATTGAGTTGGAGAACAATGTATTAATTATTTATATAAAGGTGAAGAAATAAAAGAAAACCAGGGACTTCTTTTTTCAAACTTGTAATTTTGTCAACAATAAAAAATCCCAAAATTTAATGAAACAAAACTCTACTGCTGCGTAAGTGTACCAATCCACAATATCAAAGGCAGTCATAAAGTTTCTTAAATTTCCCAAACAAGGGTTCAATTAAATGTGCAACTAACCTCAGTAGGATCTGTGTGGGCAAGGATAGCATTCAAGGGATCATCTCTTTTCAATCCGCTTTCCTCGTAAGGCATTATAACATCCTTCAAGGGACATTCACGATCACCACTTTGGTGACCATAGTTCCCGCATCTTAATATATTTTACATTACGGACTTCAACTCCAAAATGTTTCACCCTGGCAGAATTCATCTTTTTGTAGATATAGAACTCATCTTTTTGTAGAGCCTAAATTGGTAAATATTTGCTCCATTTATCCTTATTCCAACTTTGATATGTTCAGAGCCACATTCAACAACATAGCCAGCAAGTTATCCAAGAAAGTCAACGGTAAAGAATTTAAGCTTATCGCTGAGATCTATCTGTTGTGTTTGGCCCATAACATGGACAAACCCAACTCAGTGGCAAAATTTGTATTTCTTTTATGGCTTATATGTAGTTTTCGTCATTGTAATTTACTATTCTTTCATTTTTGGTCCATATAAATTTTTTAGTTATCCTTTTATCTCTAATCTTTTATAACGTTTCAAAAATAGATTTTACCATCAACTCTTATTAAAAGATATCTTATGTGGCAAATAAAATATGTTATATTTATTATATTTCATTTTATCAATATCACATAGGTAAATTGATTTTAATTTTTTTAGACAAGTTCAAAACGCACTTTGTTATTGTCACTTCATCATACTCTTCACGTGCACCCTCTCTAAGTCATGAAACATAAAGTTGGACCACCGACTTTCCTTCTTTGATGAGGTGTCCCACTAGTTGCTATCGTAGCAATCCAATAAGTGGCGATAGTCTTGAACTAATCGTTGTCATTCTTCTTGGCATTGGAGGAGGTGATATCGATAGTAATGCCAACAAAGTGGTGGACATTTTAGTGATACATGAGCTCTTGTACGATGGGGGAGTAACTGAGCGTAGGGTCGAACTCCTCCATAGTGAGGTGGCAGTTAGTGACAACCTTGTAGAGGTAGTGGTTGTTGAGGACAAACTCAATGTTAGTGTCAAGATTGCAATATACGAAAAGCAACTCCTCATCGTGGGGATTGGGATTGAGATTGGGAGGTTTAGGATTTATAGTGTCATAATTGAATCAAAGAGAAGTGTGATCTCAAGGTTGAGAATGAGGGTTTAGGTACAATGAAATGCATTTTGAACTTTTATAAAAAAAAAAAAAAAAAAAAATAATTTTACTTTTGTAATAATGGTAAAGTGAAATATAACATATACAACGTTTGTCACATAGAACTTCTTCTAATGAAGGTTAACAGTAAAAACTATTTATTAAACGTTATGAAAGCTTAGAGATTAAGCATTAACAACTAAATTTACATGGACCAAAAGTGAACAAGTGACAAATTGTAAGGACGGAAATTCTATTTAAACATTTTTTATTTGCTCACTTATTTGTTGCTATAGCATATAAACAAGACATAGTGTATATTCAAATATAAGTTTAAAATATTTTTTTGAGAATTTTTCAAGACATAGAGTTTGTTCAAATACAAGTTTAGTAGAGTTTATGAGAACTTCTTTACTGGAAAAAAAAATACTCTTTATTTAAAGTAAGAAAGCTCTAAAAATAACACTCGTAAGGTTTTATCCAAAGAATCTCATATTATGATGCTCATCAATGAGTGAGGGAAATGTAGGAAAAAAAAATAGAATGGTCATCTTAACAAATTTGCAGTGCTTGCCTGCTTTAATCAAACCACCAAACTATAACTCAGCCTTTCATTGTATGAGGTACAGTTCATACGGGATGATTAACCAATTGTTTTTTCAAATGTGAAAGTTGCTGGCAACTCACTGATTTTCAGTTGGCATTTTTTTTTCTTTCAGTTAGTACAATAGTTTAAGTTGATTTCATGGAGTTTGAATTCTAATTATTGAGAATACAAAAATATTCAAGTTAGAACGAAATATTAATGTATTTGGTATTTGACAAATTTTTTAAAGAGGTTAGGCTCTTTATTTGTCGAGAGAAACTCCTTTGCAATGAAGAAAATAATAATAATAATAATAATAATAATAATAATAATAATAATAATGAAGTCGATTTTATTTGAATTGATATTGAGATTTTATTTTTAAAAATTAGGTATATTTAGGTATTACATTTAAATTTTTCTCAACTCAATTATATTCTCCATATATTTAAATATAAAGCAATAATATTGTGATTAAAAAATTATAAAATCTTGATTGTTTTTATAAAATAATGTTTTAAAATATTAAACATCAAAAAAGAAAATATACATATGAAAAGAAAAATAATAAAATGAAGTCATGTATAAAGGTGTTGTTGGTCTTGGTATTTTGTATTGGTCTGATACCGAATAATAAAAAGAAAAAACACTTTTAGAAGATTAAAATATATCATTCTTATGTATTCTAATGTATTTTTAAGATGAATGGGATTATTAGCGGCTGTAAACAATTACGAACATGATTTATAAGAGTATTTTTATTTTCTCTTTAATTTTTAAGATTATGTCAAAAAAGTAATTTTCAAGATTATCAGTGACTAATTTTATGCAAATTTAATTTTATCTTTTATATATATATATATATATATATATATATATATATATATATATATATATTTTAAAATATAA